AGACTTAATGAAATCTATAGCTGACCTGTACTTATCTAGCAGCTCTTCTCTCCTACCCTTCCCAATATCATTTCCACCAGCACTGAGACAGATAATGGGCTTGTTCCCATTACCTGACATGATATTATCCAGTCTGTTGACAATGTCCCCAACACCAGCTCCAGGGAAGCACACTCTATCTCTCATCTTCTTATTCCTATTACAAAAAGCACGATCAACATATCTTACCTGAGAGTCACCAACCACAAGAATGCGCTTACCTTCATTAGCAGGGGCAGTAGTACCCTTACCTTCACTGGCCACTGAAGTACATTCATCTGGAGAACAGAGAAGCGATTTCCTACCTTCAGATCTGCACTCTTAACTTTCCTTACTCTGATGCGCCTCCCATTACTGTGAACAACTCGCCACTTGTAGCAGGTGCTGGGCTGCACCTCACTGCTGGTAGCCGTTGCTACCACCCCACCTACAGCCTCCTCACAGTGAGAGACAGACTGCACCTCACTGCTAGAAGCCTCATTCCCCACATCTCCAACCACCTCACACTCTCTCCCAGGCCCATTGAGGTGGACCTTCAGCCTCCTAATCTCCTCCTGGAGAAGCAAGACCTCCTCCTTCAACTCTCCAACCTCAGCTTTTAAAACACTGTAGAAGCAAGCCATGCTTTGTAACCGTCCAGTGTTAGATAAATACACGAGTGGGTGTGGGTGGGTGTGAGTTGGACCTGACTAGCTTGTGCTGCTGGGCCTGGTGCTGTGCTCCATCCTTGAGTGGAGGTGATCAGACTGGGTGGGTCATTGGGCTAATAGGGATGGGGGCGGGGGGTCACTGGTCTAATCCAGGGGGGGGGGGAGCATGGACCTACTCCGCATGGGTCAGTAGGCCTGTTGCAGTGTTCCTTCTTTCTTAAGTTCTTATGTAGAGAGAATGGAACAAAACAGAATGACTTCGAAAGTGTATAAATCTGTAGTGGAGGAAAGGCAGAGTAGGGGTCAGCCTAGAAAGGGTTGGAGGGAGGGGGTAAAGGAGGTATTGTGTGCGAGGGGTTTGGACTTCCAGAGCGTATTTGATGGGAGTGAATGGAAACGAATGGTTTTTAACCCTTTGACTGTTTTGGTCATATACATGTATACAGTGGACCCTCACCTAACAAACACATCGCATAACGTTAAATTCGCCTAACGATACATTTTAACGCTAACATTTTGCCTCGGCTAATGTTAAAAAACTCGCCTAACGATATTCGTTCTCGGGTACCAATTAATATCATTAGGTGAGGGTCCACTATATACATCTTACTAGCCAGTGTTTCGGATGTATTAATACGCAGGCCCACATGTGAGAGAATGGGTCTGTGTGGTCAGTGTGCACCAAATAATGAAAATGGCCTTGAAATTGAGCTCAAAGTAGCGGAAATGTTCGATTTTTACCAATGTTCAGGAGTAAGCAAATCACACCACATGTCCAATACACATCAACTAAGGAGTCTAATATTCTTTCACTAGTGCACTGATATTACTTATGCCATTTTTACAATAATGCAGAAGTCTGCATAACAGTAAATTTTGTATTTTTTGTATGAACAAAAAATCAAGATAGAAAATTATAGTAATATAAGAGGGGCTTAGAGATGTGACTAATGAACAGAGGATATGTTATTCTGGACCCTATTTTGAAATTTGCATCTTTTTTAATTTGCATGAAATTGGCCAAATTGCCAATTTCTGACCACTTTATTTGGTAGTTCAAATCAGTAAATGGGCGGTTTCTTGTACTCAACTGATAGAAAAAATGGAGTTCTAAAGAAATAGCTATGAGTTTGGTCAACTCGAACAACGGAACTGATCAAAAACAGGGCTCAAAGTCGGCGAAATCACCGATACGTATATTCATCGAGACCGCTAACTTCACGGGAGTGTAATTCCGCGAGTTTTAGACCAAATTTCGTACTTTTGGTGTCATTACCATTGGGAAAAGATTCTCTCTCATTTCATAAGAAAAATAATTTTTTTTTTTTCCAAAAATTTTGCAACATGGAATGACAGTTTCAGAAAGGGGCTTGCGACAGTCAAAGGGTTAATACTTAAAACGTGCTGTTGGAGTGTGAGCAAAGTAACATTTAAGAAGGGATTCAGGGAAACCAGCAGGCCGGACCTGAGTCCTGGAGATGGGAAGTACAGTGCCTGCACTCTGAAGGAGGGGTGTTAATGTTGCAGTTTTATAACTGTAGTGTAAGGCACCCCTCTAGCAAGACAGTAATGGAGTGAATGATGATGAAAGTTTTTCTTTTTTGGGCCACCTGCCTTGGTGGGAATCGGCCGATGAGCTAATAAAAAAAATAAAAAAAATAATGTGTGTGCCTTTAATGAAATACAGTGAACCCTCGGCTAACGAACGCATCGCATATGGTTAAATCCGCCTAACAAAGCGTTTGAGCGTAAAAATTTTGGCCCGCCTAACGATAAAAAACTCGCCCAACATCATTCGTCCCAAACCTGTCTGTCCAGCCTGAGCACCTCAGCTGCCCTGCCGTCATTGTTTACAAGCCAGGGTGGCCGGTTTTATGCATACATTCAATACATTTTGTATTTTTCCATTGTTTATAGTGCTTGTAACTGCAGAGAGAATGGAGCGAAACAGAATGACTTCAAGAGTGTATCAGTCTGTAGTGGAAGGAAGGCGGCATAGGGGTCAGCCTAGGAAAGGTTGGAGGGAGGGGGTAAAGGAGGTTTTGTGTGCGAGGGGCTTGGACTTCCAGCAGGCATGTGTGAGTGTGTTTGATAGGAGTGAATGGAAACAAATGGTTTTTAATACTTGGCGTGCTGTTGGAGTGTGAGCAAAGTAACATTTATGAAGGGATTCAGGGAAACCGGCAGGCCGGACTTGAGTCCTGGAGATGGGAAGTACAGTGCCTGCACTCTGAAGGAGGGGTGTTAATGTTGCAGTTTAAAAACTGTAGTGTAAAGCACCCTTCTGGCAAGACAGTGATGGAGTGAATGATGGTGAAAGTTTTTCTTTTTCGGGCCACCCTGCCTTGGTGGGAATCGGCCAGTGTGTTAATTAATATAACTGCTAAATAAGCTACCATGGGCCCAAAGAAAGCTTCTAGTGCCAACCCTGTGGTAAAAAGGGTGAGAAATACTATTGAAATACTATTGTACCATGGTCAGCTGTTGCTGCACCACCGTCAGCTGTACTACTTGAAGATGTGGAGAGACTGTTGTTGGTGTGGCTTAACGAGAAACAGTTACTGAGAAACAATTAGCCCCAGAGGGTTAGCCACCCAGGATAACCCAAAAAAGTCAGCGAGTTATCGAGAACTGTCTAACTTATTTCCATTGGGGTCCTTAATCTTGTCCCCCAGGATGTGACCTACACCAGTCGACTAACACCCAGGTGAACAGGAAAAAATGCCTGGAATTAGTGCTCATATTGGTGAATTTAAGGCCAGCAAATGTTGGTTTGAGAGGTTTAAGAATCGTAGTGGCATACACAGTGTGATAAGGCATGGAGAAGCTGAAAAATTCCAACCTCAACAAGTGTTCAATTGTGACAAAACAGGCCTGTTCTGGAAGAAAATGCCAAACTGGACCTACATTACTCAGAAGGAAAAAGCACTCCCAGGACACAAGCCTATGAAACACTGGCTAACTTTCTTATTTTGTTGTAATGCTAGTGGGGATTGCAAAGTGAAGCCTTTACTCGTGTATCACTGTGAAAATCCCAGCGTTCAAGAAAAACAGTGTCTCAAAGGTAAGTGTCATTTTAACATTTATTTATATAGTTATTGTGCATGTCTCATTGTTTTCTTTGTAGGGAAAAATATATTTCATGAAAAAAAAATTTATTTTTTCTTTAATACTTTTGGCTGTCTTGAATGGATTAATAGGATTTCCATTATTTCTCATGGATAAAATTAATTCAGCTAATTTCGTCTAACGGTGAGCTCCCAGGAACGGATTAATATCGTTAGCCGAGGGTCCACTGTAATTATTAGGTGAATTATGAATCTCACTCTTTCAGTGGCTGTCACATAGACCTACATCAATGAGGCCAGGGTCCCTCAGATAATTCTATGACACGAGCTCAGCTAAGATAAGCTACGAGCGGTTAATTTTAGCGTTGATACAAGAGAATGGGTCTGCACGGTGAATGTGCAGTGGTTTTTATGGATTTGCTGACTGTTGCTTAGCATCATTTTATAAAATGGAAGAAAAGTACTGAAATAGAGATAATTTTGATTAGTTTCAATACCAAAAGTAGCTTGAAATTCCGCTCGAAGCAGCAAAAATATTATATTTTTGCCAATATTCATGAGGAAGGGTAAGGTCTCTCTGCAACCCCCAGTCTATTTTATGAGTTTTAATAGGTTTGATTTAATTATTCAGCCACTAAACCATAACCAATCATTCCTAGATATATTTTATTATCTGGGAAAAAAAGTAAATCTATTGTTCTGTGATTAAGAATTCAAATTGGAAGGCAAGTATAATATAGCAGAGGTTTAGGGACATGACTAATGAACAGAGGCAATATTGTTTTAGTGCCTGGAATGTCTACATTGTTTATTTTGAATTCTATTTTTAAATGGGAATTTTTTAATTTTGTGTAAAATTGGCCAAATTACTGACTTCAATACACTTTTTATAGAGTAGCTCGAATAGTTGAATGAGTGTTCTCTCACGTTGAATCAATAAAATGGAAGGTATACTAGCAAAATATCCAAGAATTTGGTTGAATGGAACAATGGAATCAGGATAAAACAGAACTCAGAGTGGGCAAAATTGACGGTGTAAACTGTGCCAAGACCACTAACTTTGCACCTGCATAATTCTCTAAGTTTTCCACCAAATTTTGTACTTTTGGTGCCATTACCTTCAGAAAAAGATTCCCTACAATTTCAGAAGAACAAAAAGACAAATTTTAAATGTGGACACTGAAATGTTAATTTCAGGAGTCTGGACAGTAAAAGGGTTAAACAATGGTTTGCAAAAACTTACCAACAGTGTATTGACTACAGTCCTGAATCTTATTCACAATGGCATCAACATACTGATTTTTATCTGGATGGTTGGCTTTAACTTGAGCTCCAATCTTGAGAACACCTTTCACAAGATCATCAGACAAAACACTGGATCCCAAGCCCAGCTTAAATGTCACCTGCAAGTAAAAACAGAATTATGAAAGTTAGTATCATAAAACTCATTCAATGTAGAATGCTGCAGATTCCTAAGGCATGTTTATATTATCATAGCTTGTTAGACATGCAAAGGTGATGCCAGGGTGTCTGAAAGTTTCAGGTGCAACCTTTAATTAACACAGGTTTAACCTCCCACTTTGAAGAAGGAGAATGCAAAAAAACTGTTAACCACCAAACAAACAACTATCCATACATTAGCTCCACCTTACACTATATATACCATAGTTAAGAGACTTCACAAATATGGAACAAAATTCACTGGTATAACTGATTTGGGAAGAATGGAAAAAAGTCTGCTGGTTACAGAATTGTCAATTACTGTTAAACTCGCTGTCAATCTTATCTCTATTGACAAAACTTGCCGTTATCAGACACCCACTCTCCTCTGGCACTCCAATGAATCAAGGTTTTGCTGAATTAGGTTAGCATGCTTGAAGTTGTGGCTTTGTGGGGAAATGGAAGTCTGGTTAACGTGGTTTAAACAATATTTATGATGGTAGTGGCAGCATTTTGTCAGGAAAAATTAAAAAAATTTCTCTTGACCCAGATGTTAATCATATGAACAACTCTGTGGAGCCTTGGTGACTTTAACAAAGGTCTTCTGCTGACTTACTAGTCACTCTTGTGAAAAAAACTGACCACTACATAATAAGATGTGATATATGCAAGTTTCCTCCACATTCAAATAATCACATTTTGTGTCCTAGAAGTGATATTAAAGCTGACACTTGAAAGAGTAAACTCTTATTAACAGGAAAACAACAACAAAATAGCCATTTCATTATGAGACAAATAAGACAAAATAAGACAAATAAGACAAAATATACAAGGTATGATGTAGCACGTAATGAAAGTAGTTTATTAGATTATGTATTGGTGGATAAAAGGTTGATGGGTAGGCTCCAGGATGTACATGTTTATAGAGGGGCAACTGATATATCGGATCATTATTTAGTTGTAGCTACAGTTAGAGTAAGAGGTAGATGGAAAAAGAGGAAGGTGGCAACAACAAGTAAGAGGGAGGTGAAAGTGTATAAACTAAGGGAGGAGGAAGTTCGGGTGAGATATAAGCGACTATTGGCAGAAAGGTGGGCTAGTGCAAAGATGAGTAGTGGGGGGTTGAAGAGGGTTGGAATAATTTAAAAATGCAGTATTAGAATGTGGGGCAGAAGTTTGTGGTTATAGGAGGGTGGGGGCAGGAGGAAAGAGGAGTGATTGGTGGAATGATGAAGTAAAGGGTGTGATAAAAGAGAAAAAGGTAGCTTATGAGAGGTTTTTTAAAAAGCAGAAGTGTTTATAAGAAGAGCAGAGTATATGGGAGAGTAAAGAAAGGTAACGAGAGTGGTGAGAGAGTGCAAAAGGAGAGCAGATGATAGAGTGCGAGAGGCACTGTCAAGAAATTTTAATGAAAATAAGAAAAAATTTTGGAGCGAGTTAAACAAGTTAAGAAAGCCTAGGGAAAGTATGGATTTGTCAGTTAAAAACAGAGTAGGGGAGTTAGTAGATGGGGAGATGGAGGTATTAGGTAGATGGCGAGAATATTTTAAGGAACTTTAAAATGTTAAGGAAGAAACAGAGGCAGTAATTTCATGCACTGGTCAGGAAGGTATACCATCTTTTAGGAGTGAAGAAGAGCAGAATGTAAGTGTGGGGGAGGTACATGAGGCATTACGTAAAATGAAAGGGGGTAAAGCAGCTGGAACTGATGGGATCATGACAGAAATGTTAAAAGCAGGGGGGGATATAGTGTTGGAGTGGTTGGTACTTTTGTTTAATAAATGTATGAAGAGGGGAAGGTACTCAGGGATTGGCGGAGAGGCACGTATAGTCCCTTTATATAAGGGAAAGGGGGACAAAAGAGACTAAAAATTATAGAGGAATAAGTTTACTGAGTATACCAGGAAAAGTGTACGGTGGGGTTATAATTGAAAGAATTAGAGGTAAGACAGAATGTAGGATTGCGGATGAGCAAGGAGGTTTTGGAGTGGGTAGGGGATGTGTAGATCAAGTGTTTACATTGAAGCATATATGTGAACAGTATTTAGATAAAGGTAGGGAAGTTTATATTGCATTTATGGATTTAGAAAAGGCATATGATAGAGTGGATAGAGGAGCAATGTGGCAGATGTTGCAAGTATATGGAATAGGTGGTAAGTTATTAAATGCTGTAAAGAGCTTTTATGAGGATAGTGAGGCTCAGGTTAGGGTGTGTAGAAGAGAGGGAGACTACTTCCCGGTAAAAGTAGGTCTTAGACAGGGATGTGTAATGTCACAATCGTTGTTTAATATATTTATAGACGGGTTGTAAAGGAAGTAAATGATAGGGTGTTCGGGAGAGGGGTGGGATTAAATTTTGGGGAATCAAATTCAAAATGGGAATTGACACAGTTACTTTTTGCTGATGATACTGTGCTTATGGGAGATTCTAAAGAAAAATTGCAAAGGTTAGTGGGTGAGTTTGGGAATGTGTGTAAAGGTAGAAAGTTGAAAGTGAACATAGAAAAGAGTAAGGTGATGAGGGTGTCAAATGATTTAGATAAAGAAAAATTGGATATCAAATTGGGGAGGAGGAGTATGGAAGAAGTGAATGTTTTCAGATACTTGGGAGTTGACGTGTCGGCGGATGGATTTACGAAGGATGAGGTTAATCATAGAATTGATGAGGGAAAAAAGGCGAGTGGTGCGTTGAGGTATATGTGGAGTCAAAAAACGTTATCTATGGAGGCAAAGAAGGGAATGTATGAAAGTATAGTAGTACCAACACTCTTATATGGGTGTGAAGCTTGGGTGGTAAATGCAGCAGCGAGGAGACGTTTGGAGGCAGTGGAGATGTCCTGTTTAAGGGCAATGTGTGGTGTAAATATTATGCAGAAAATTCGGAGTGTGGAAATTAGGAAAAGGTGTGGAGTTAATAAAAGTACAGTGGACCCCCGCATAACGATCACCTCCGAATGCGACCAATTATGTAAGTGTATTTATGTAAGTGCGTTTGTACGTGTATGTTTGGGGGTCTGAAATGGACTAATCTACTTCACAATATTCCTTATGGGAACAAATTCGGTCAGTACTGGCACCTGAACATACTTCTGGATTGAAAAAATATCATTAACCGGGGGTCCACTGTATTAGAGAGCAGAAGAGGGGTTGTTGAGGTGGTTTGGTCATTTAGAGAGAATGGATCAAAGTAGAATGACATGGAGAGCATATAAATCTATAGGGGAAGGAAGGCGGGGTAGGGGTCGTCCTTGAAAGGGTTGGAGAGAGGGGGTAAAGGAGGTTTTGTGGGCAAGGGGCTTGGACTTCCAGCAAGTGTGTGTGAGCGTGTTAGATAGGAGTGAATGGAGACGAATGGTACTTGGGAACTGACGATCTGTTGGAGTGTGAGCAGGGTAATATTTAGTGAAGGGATTCAGGGAAACCGGTTATTTTCATATAGTCGGACTTGAGTCCTGGAAATGGGAAGTACAATGCCTACACTTTAAAGGAGGAGTTTGGGATATTGGCAGTTTGGAGGGGTATGTTGTGTATCTTTATATGTGTATGCTTCTAAACTGTTGTATTCTGAGCACCTCTGCAGAAACAGTGATAATGTGCGAGTGTGGTGAGAGTGTTGAATGATGATGAAAGTATTTTCTTTTTGGGGATTTTCTTTCTTTTTTTGGGTCACCCTGCCTCGGTGGGAGACGGCCGATTTGTTAAAAAAAAAAAAAAAAAAAAAAAAGACTGCTTGAGCTATATGGGACCTCACTGTTGAATGGAGGGAAGGAGGGAGCTATGGGGGGGGGAGGAGCTATGGAGGGAAGGGAGATGTGAAAGGAGGGTTGCAGAGGGAGGGAAGGAGGGAGTGAAGCTGTGGAGGGCAAGAGCTGCAAAGGGAGAGGTTAGTGCAAGAGTAAAATTTATATCAAAGTTGGTGCAACAGGTTAGTTTCCATTAACCCTTTCAGGGTCAGCAGGCCCTCTCCTAAATTTGTTCTCAGGGTCGGAAATTTTCGAAAAAAAAAAATTTCTTATGAAATGATAGAGAATTTTTTCCCGATCATAATGACACCAAAATTATGAAATTTGATGGAAAACTTACGGAATTATGCTCTCGCAAAGTTAGCGGTCTTGACGATGTTTACGCATCGGCGATTTTGCCCACTTTGAGCCCTATTTTCAGCCAATTTCAATGTACCAGTCGACAAAAATCATAACTATTTCGCTAGAACTCCATTTTTTCTATCGAATGAGTACAAAAAACTGCCCATTTACCCATTTCAACTATCCAATAAAGTGGTCAGAAATTAGCAATTTTGCCAATTTCACACAAATTTCAAAAGATGCCAAGACAGACATTCCTGGCACTAAAATAACATTTTCTCTGTTCATTAGTCATGTCCCAAGGCCTCTCTTACATTTCTTTTGCTTTCCACTTTAAATTTTTATTCTCACAAAAAAAATAGAAGATTTACTGTTATGCAGACTACTGCATTAGTATAGAAATGGTATAAATAATATCAGCGCACTTGTGAAAGAATATTAGACTCACCAGTTGACGAGTATTGGACGCATGGCATGATTTGCTTACTTTTAAACTTTGGCAAAAATCGAACATTTCTGCTACTTTGAGCTCAATTTCAAGGTACTTTTCATTGTGAAACTAATTAAAATCATCTCAATTTCTGTAATATGTCTTCCATTCTATAAAATGAGAACAGGAAAACTAGAATGCAACCATAAATGGCATACAAAAATACACTGCAAATTCGCTGTTTTACAGCAATAAGATGGTCGGAGTTTTTTTTTCTCATTATGCACTGTGTGTTGCAAGATTTTTTATACTGTGCACACTGACCACATAGACCCATTCTTTCATATGTAGGCCTATCAGCTTTCTCTCACTAGATTTGAAGGCACTAGAATTTGTGTATACTAGCACAGCACCAACCCTGGCATGCAAGCCGTACCAGTACGGCACC